TGTCTGTATTTAACCTTTCACAGAATGTTTAGTGCTTGGAAGAAGAAAATGGTTGTTTAGAAATGTTATGATGTGTCTGATGGACGCTGACACTGACCAATGAGGCTCCTGACCTTGTAGTCATAGGCGGAGCTAAGTAGCAGGTTCTCAGCAGTTGGATGCCACTCGATCAGCCCCACCCTCCTGGAATGACCAATCAGGGTCTTCCTGGCCCTGGTTAAGTCCTGTTGGACACCACAGACGGGGATGTCCCAGATCTTCACCTGGGCTCCCGTACAAACAAAAACATCTTGATGTATTTTTCGTGATGGGCTCAGATGTGGAGCAGATTTTAATTAGAAGCTCATTAACATGACACATGCTCTGAAGGCTTTACACTGACCAAAGTCAAGCTTTAACCCTAAGATGAAGTGTTGACCCCCAGAGTGGAGGACCTGAATACGTCTATCCTTGCATAAATGTAAACACACATGAAGGGGTCGGTGCGTACGGTGCAGTCCTCTGAGCACGAGGCGATGCAGTAATCGTCAAACGGTTTCCACTTGATGTCCAGGACTTGGCCGCTGTGACCACACACCCTCGGGTGCTGAGGGTCCACTCTGCCTGTCTGAGTGAGAGCAGGAAACCATTTTACCCCGGGAGGTCAAACCAGCATCATCCAGTATCGCTCCAGATGGCACTGATGTGAATAAAAGTAGTTGTAACCTGTAAGGTTGAACCTGCAAACATGTTAGTTTGATATCTATGAAGAGTAAAGTCTCAGTTGAAACAGAACGTAACAAAATGCCTTTACTGAAGTACAACTTTGAGTATTTTCATTGTCTGCTACTTCACACTTTGCCTTCAGTTCACACTGCAATAGTTTAGCATTCAGTTATTTATATATTCAGTTTCTTTTCCCCTGGATTGAAATAGAATACAGTAGTAGGTTGTGTTACTCTGTGATCATCAGGAGGAAAAACACACATGATGGATGGGCAGGACTAGAAAGGACCCGCCCCCAGTGCTCTCCGTCACCACGGCCATGAAGCGGGGATTGACTGAGCAGTAGTGGTTGTCGTGGACGCCGCGTGTGATCGGCACCCCGTCGTAGCTCCGCCCCTTGGTGGCCGGCTTTCCGAAGACGTGACGAAACTTGGAGCAACGGAAGGACGAGCGCCGCGACATCTGGAGGACAGGAAGTACCAGGTGGGAGGGTGAGAGGCTTGTAAAATGTTAGTTTGACATCAGGGCACAGGTTTAATGCTTTAATCTGAACACAGTTAGAAGAAAGAAGGGAAAACGTGTGTGTGTCATGTGATCTCATCATAGTGTTGTGGAAAATCAACAGTTCCATTATCTGGTCTAATCAATAATGCAATCAGCTCATTATTGCCTTTTATAATCTTATCAATTATAAATCAATTTCTTCAATAACTGATCCTTTTAATCATTCATACACACACACAGCGATAAAGACGTCGTCCAGAGCAGCTCGACTGTGTCATTAAAGATTCATCAGTAAGACGCACACTTCCTGTTGCTACAAACTGCTCCTGACCTTTGACCTTTACTGTGGCTAGATCAGCTTACAGCAGAGAAAGGAGGGAGAACAAAAGGTGAGGAGAGAAGAACAGCAGGAGGAAAAACCTAGAAAACACTCCCCCAGTCCAACCAGAGCGTCCTCCACATTTAATCTGAATATTTTAAATATAAATCAGGTTGTTCTCTAAAGACGTTGGATGTTGTTTAGACTTGCACGTTGATCCTAATGTGCTCACCGACATTTTGGGAAATATGGTCATTCACCTTCTTGCTGACAGTTTGCGTTTTCACAGAGTCAGATATGAAAATGATGCTACTGAAAGTCTGTAAATGTGGACAACAGCGACCCGGCTCTGTCCAAAAGTAACACAATCCACCTTGTGGCACTTCACTAACTTCACATTATATCTAGTTTCTTTAATCAGTGCAAACAGCAAAGTGTAAAAACAAAGTTTTAGGCTGTAATGAGTTGCTAGGAAGTTACTGCTCAGAACCCCTGAGAAACAGGAACCTGGTAAGAGTTTGTAGATCTTGTTACCTGAGGACAGAGATGACACTTTCCCTGTTTCCAGTCTTTAAGCTAAGTTAAGCTAACAGCTGCTGACATCATATGATGACAGATGTGCTCCTCATCACACAGAGCTTTCTAGTAATACTGAGCCTTCACCCTGAGCTGAGGACTCACTGATGCTCCCTTCACTTCATATAAACCGTTGGAAGCTTTTGTCATGTTGTCTCACTGTATCTGTATTGACACACTTCCTATCACTTTACTGAAATCAGATAATAAGGCCTGTTGGCCTTGGTGAACTCGGGGTTTGACTGTAGTTTGAATCTCAGTCGTTGTCTCTCTGCTGGTAACTTGACAATAACAACAGAACTCACCAAAAACGTAACACAACTGAAATACAGTGTTCTTACCTCAGACAGACTCATGTAGAGGTCACTGGGTTCTCCTCCTGCCAGCGCCTGCTGGTTCTGCTACTAGTACAGTTAGTAGGACCGATACCCGCCGCCGGTTCAGTGTCTGTTGAACAGGAACCTTTAGCTTTGCTGGACCATGTGAGATAATCCTTCACCTTTTTTCTAACACAGCACTACACAACCTGCAGTGTCCACAGTGCTGCTGGCTTCTGACTGTGTGTGTGTGTTTGTGTTTGTTCCTGATCCGTGACGTCCAACCTCTGCTTCCATATTATCTGAGCTGTTCATGCGTGGTTGCACGCACACAAACACCCTCTACATCTGATACTACCACACACACACACACACACACACACACACACACACAGAAGCATCCGTGCACCAAGACGACAGTGTGAGTGTTGCTGCTATAAATCTGCAGCTGTTTTCAAACTGGTTTTAATGGATTTGACTGAAGACACCACGGTTTTTTAATATTCGAATTATGATTTGTTGAGCGGCAGTTTGAGACATTTGTTCTTTGAGTAGTTTAATTTTATGCTGCTACTTTTTACACTAATGCATTTTACTTTGTTTTCAGATGGAGCATTTAACACAACAAACAATAAAATAGTCTTATAAAATAAAGCACATAGTTAAGATTCAATTCCTTTCTCATTTTTATGCTCCACATAAAAACAAAATAGTTTCACACATCCAAAAACCCTTTGAGACAAATGTCGGATTTAATTCACTTTATTGGTATAAAAGCTGCAAATCAGTTGTGGAGGAAATTCCTCAATCACACACTAAATGATGGCAACACGTTCAGTAGCAACGGTGATGAAAGTTAACAGCAAAGATTTCAATACATGTTGATGCAACGTGTCGACTACAGAACTAAGCTACAGCAAAGCGAACTCAGTTAAAGTTAAATGTTGTCTATTGTCTGTTGTTGTTGTACTACACATTACCACCATCTAAAGGGGTTTAGTCGCACAACTGTCAATCAGGTACCAGTAAATTAACACAACATGTTTATGAACAGACTGAAAAAGGTGTTAAACATGGTTGTAGGCTGTGATTCAAGAAGACAGAGGCTCAGTGGAGACGGTGAGGAGCTGAGTTGTTGTTACTTTGGGCTTCTGATGGAGAAACTGAACCAGACCAATCAGCCCGTCCATCCATTACATCTCTTGTTGTGAAGAGGATTGTGGGGTTGGACTTTAGCCCAGTTCATTCTGGGCACACGGCAAAACAACCACTTCTGTAAAATTAGCAGTTAGCATAAGATCAGCATGCAACGCATCGACAAACACAGTGCGACAATCAATCTACTTATTAGCTCCCTGATTCTTCTTCCACTGTGACCTGACTCTGGACAACAGCAGCCAATCACGTATCCACAGTGCACCACCACCTCCTGCTACATCATCACCTCCCCACAGTGCACCACCACTTCCTTCTACACCATCACCACTTCCCAGTACACCACCACCTCCTGCTATATCATCCCCTCCCCACAGTGCGCCACCACTTCCTTCTACACCATCACCACTTCCCAGTGCACCACCACCTCCTGCAATGACCAGTGTACCCGGCACTGCACCAGTAGCTCCTCCCACTATCTTCCCACCACCAGTTGAAACTGCATTTTCTCCACCTTCTTGTGGCTGGTTTCCTGCTTGCCCACTGTCATTATTTTCTGAACTGTGTTCACTTATTTTTTTTGTTGTGGTGGTGGCAGTAACATTAGTGACTCTTGCATTAGAAGTAGTAGTTTCAGTTTTGGATGTGGTTGTTGGTGGAATGGTGGTATGGTGGGGCTCAGTGGTCGTTGAGGGAGTGTTAGTTCTGGTATCACCTCCCCACAGTGCACCACCTGCTACTACACCAACACTTGCCAGTGCACTACCACCTCCCAGTGCACCAATACCTACTGCTACACCACCACCTCCTGCTGCAACACACCCAGTGCACCACCACTTCCCAGTGCACCACCACCTCCCAGTGCACCACCACTTCCCAGTGCACCACCACTTCCCAGTGCACCACCACCTCCCAGTGCACCACCACTTCCCAGTGCACCACCACTTCCCAGTGCACCACCACCTCCCAGTGCACCACCACTTCCCAGTGCACCACCACTTCCCAGTGCACCACCACCTCCCAGTGCACCACCACTTCCCAGTGCACCACCACTTCCCAGTGCACTACCACCTCCCGCTGCACCACCACTTCCCAGTGCACCACCACCTCCCAGTGCACCACCACTTCCCAGTGCACCACCACCTCCCAGTGCACCACCACTTCCCAGTGCACCACCACTTCCCAGTGCACTACCACCTCCTGCTACAGCAATTCCTTCAATGGCCTTGCTCACTATAACACCCAGTGCTCCACCTCCTAGTGTACCTGCTGCTGCTGCACCAGCAGCTCCTCCCACTATCTTCCCACCACCAGTTGAAACTTCATTTCCACCACCTTGTTGTTGTTGATTTCCTTCTTGCCCATCGTCTTTATTTTTTGAATTGTCTTCACTTTTTTGGGTGGTAGTAGTAGTTGTTTTGGTCGTCGTCGTTAGGACTGTGGTTGTTGGTGGAACGGTGGTAGTTTGGGCCTCAGCTGTCGTTGAGGGAGTTGTGGGAGTGGGAGGGGCAGTTGTTTTGGTCGTCGTCGTTAGGACTGTGGTTGTTGGTGGAACGGTGGTAGTTTGGGCCTCAGCTGTTGTTGAGGGAGTTGTGGTAGTGGGAGGGGCAGTTGTGGTTAAAGGCTGTGCTGGACATTGGCAGTTTTGTTTTTTTGGCAATTTCGGGTACAATTCAGTAACCGTTGTGTCTCGAGGACACTGTATGGGAAACGCATCATAGCTCAGTGTATTGTTGAGTTCTGCCAGAGTTCGTGTCTCCAGATAATCAGGTTGCCTCTCAACATTGTCACCCCAGTGTGCACTCGCGAGCCACATATTCTCTGTTTGACTGTAACAGCAGAAAGCAGACCAGAGCTTGGAAGGTATATTAACCCTGTTGTTGAGGTTTTCTGTGCCAGGCACTGCGCCCGTCACCACGTAGCCTTCAATGACACCATTGTTGTTAAGGCAGTAGTTTTTCAGGACACATTTGACACAGTCCTCCATTTTGCTCCAGCTGCCTTGGTTGAATGATGGTACTTGTGGAACGGCGTTTGTCAGGGTGAATGTTGAGGTTTTTTCACTTATGTCACATCCATAACCAGATGGAAATAAATGGCCACGATCAGAGCCTGTATTCTTATAATCCTGGTCACTGGCCTGGTTCCGGAGTCTCTCAGCCCTCATGTTGCCGTTGTTTTCTTCAAGCTGCAAAGGTTGAAACATTCACTCAGTGCTACTGATAAAGTACCAGAGACTGTTTTGTAGATTTTCTTTCCAAAGTACTGAAGCCAGTCTGATTATTACTTTGTGTTTATGTTGTGTATCATTTAAAACAATGAATCCTGAAATTGTTTTTTGAAACTTTGTAGAAAAATTCAAAACATAAGCTGAACCTTCACCTTATTAAAATGACATGACTGTGGGGCTCTGAGGGTTTATGACAGCACGGCCTGACACCCCCCTCTATGGGGCCAAATAATGGATAAACATCGTTTAACCTGTGCACTGAGCTTCCATAGGAACGCTCTGCTGTTCTTTGGCAGGTTTAATTGTGTCTTATTGACCCTGACAAAGAGGAATGTTTCTTGGTAAGAACACTGGTTTTCAGATAAAGTAGCTCTGCTGTCTTTCTTTCAAATTGGGAACACTGGTGGATTCCTGCCAGAGTCAAAGCAGGTGAAAGACAGTGTCCCCTCCAACCTGTTAGTCTAGTCTGCATGTTGGTGTCTAAATAGGCTGCGTGGGAGCCGTGTATTTGAATGTTTAAAGTTAATGTCTTAGTATTTTTATGAGTGAGAGGGTGGGGAAACCTACCTGTGGCTCTATCATCCAAGGGGTGTCGGGTCTTTTTCCTTTATCCCCCCTGTACTTGTAAGCAGAAAACACAGGAATCCTGTTCTTGGTGTCGTAGAGCGTCACAAACCTTTTGTTGTTGTCATATGTCTGGCAGATGACTTTGTATCGGTTCTGGTCTTGGATGTTGCCGCCCACCAGGATCCCAGGGATCTCTGGTGGAGTTGGACCTAGAAAAAACTGGTCACAGTCTGAAATGGACTGCACCACTTCAGCTCCTGTGGGAGTGATGGACAGGAGGAGGAGGAGGAGGAGGGTGGCGAGGGGTAGGAGGTACCTCGTCTTCAGGGAAGTCATCATCTCATTCTGTGTATGTTGTTCACAGGAGAAAACAGTCACACATTATTTATTTGGTGGTTTTCTGATTCACCAAAAGGAGAAAGTGGATTTTCTTGCATTTCTCTGATTCATTTCGCTGTCGCACTCACATCAGGTCAGCTGTCGACTTGTACACGTACACAGTACTTATTATTGCCATCAGTAAGTCACCACTACAGAAGGCGTGTGAACTTGTTTCACTCTCTGGCATAAACAGACTGGAGAAAAGATACTGAAAAGTGAAACTTTCATTTCTATCTAGTTGGTTTTAACTGCTTTATTTACAATTATCTCATTTGATTCAGTGGCTCCCAACCTCAGGGTCAGAACTTTGTCAGATTTGTGTGTGTGTCCAGTTTTGTATATTTACAGTTAATTATTTCAAACGATTAAAAGGAAAGCCGCTCCTAATGGAACTGCTAACAACTTTGTGGCAAGGAGCCCCGACTAGATACGCTCCTGTCTCTTGTAATCTCTATTTGTAATTTTGCAAATGTTTGTTACAAGATAAAAGTCCATATTAATAGCTTCTGTCATAGATTCAAGATGCTGCCCAGTGTTTTTCTGTAAAACCTTTCTTTAAAAATGTCTTAAAGTATTAAATGTTGATAGCTGCAGTCCTAGAAAATAGACCAAGAAAGACTTACCATCTCAGATGTCATGAAATCTTCTCGAGGACACAGGGAGTCTGAGTCTATACTAGCTCAGATATGAACTGAAGCTGTGACAGAAGGCTTTATATTCACTGGAGCAGCAGCAGCACTATGCACATTTCCAGCAACAGTATTTTATTCCTTGAGGTCCCTGGCCGTTCTAAGAATTTGTCAACGCCTTCCTCATTTGCAGTGACCAGCAGAGTCTCAGAGTTTTTGGTCACTGTGTCCTCATATGTCCCACAACACTCAAACCGTGCTGCTGTGCCTCTTGCTCTCAGATTTTTGTGAAACAACCCTGTCAAAGTTCCAGTAGAATGCCAGCTATGACCGTGGCTACGTTTCTGATGCATTCACTCTCATCTGGTTCAGGATCAAAGTCGCGTTACTCAGGTGGGTGATGTGTGACACCACCCACTGTAGGCTCCTGAACATTCATTGTACCATTCAAACCAGTGGAGAAGCTAAAAGTTGACAAAAGGTTAAATAACATAAAAAGTGTTAATAATTAATAAGGTTAATAACAAGAGAAGTACAAGCCCTGAAGATGCATGTTTTAAAGTTTGGATGAAGTTTCTAGCCCAAAGAAGTAGATAGAGACTGAAGAAACGTGGCCAACAACAGTTGGGAGAGCTGATAGCTCTGTACAGTATTTCAGTGCTATCTCCCACATGCTGCATCTTGAGAATTATAGTATATACAGATGTTAATTTGGTGTTGAAATGCTTTCCAAACAATTACAAAGTATGTAGTAGTTTGGGGGCATTATACATTCTCTACAAAACAAAATGGAAAATAAACTGTTGTCAACATGAAATGTAAATCTTCTTTTAAACATTCACGTTGAATTCATACTGAATCTTGGTCTGTAATAACTTTGTTAATGTGACCTGACCTACTTACCAAATAACTGAATCTGTAAAAACAAAACTGCCGGTAAGCAGATTTCCTGTCTTGTTTTTTTTTTTCCGTCAAAATGAAAGCGGATCTTTGCTGCTCTGCTTCCCCCAGAAGTTGACCTGCAACGTGTTCCGGCTCCTCTGGCAGGATTCCGAGGTGTTCCCAGGCCAAATGGGATACATAATCTCTCCAGCGTGTTCTGGGTCTGCCCCGGGGTCTCCTGTCATTTGGATGTGCCTCGAAGGCCTACAAAGGGAGGTGTCCTGGAGGCGTCCTGATAAAATGCCCGGGCCACCTCAACTTGCTCCTTTCAATGTGACGGAGCAGAAGCTCTACTCCAAGGCCCTTCTGGAAGTCCGAACTCCGTGCCCTGTCCCTAAGGGTAAGTCCACCCACCCTGTGAAGGAAACTCATTGTGGCCACTTGATAAACAGTGAGACAGTCTGACAGCTTTCTTACCTTAAGAAGAGATTTATTTATTTACTAGTTGCACGTGGGACAGACAGAGTTTCAGCAGCAGTGTTTTTATACACATTCATATACACTCACTGGCCACTTTATTGAATAATTAGTCCAGTACAACACCACCTTTAACTATGGCATCAGTAATAAAGATATGATTGAACTGATGCATTTATGACAGTTTCACCAAAAACAGAAACATTTTGAGCTTCATCAACACAGATGTTAAGGTGGAAATGTTGCATTGAAGTGGATACAACTGTACAGGTGTACCTAATAAAGTGGCCAGTGAGTGTATATACTGTATAATATCATATTCCCTATAGTTCCCATGTGAAGCCAGGTGGCTCTTCTGCTGTCTACACATACTAGTACCTTTTAGACCATCAGGAAAAATACATTAACCAGACACAGTGCTACCTATAAACACTGTAAACCATGGTTTTTAATATATTGATTGGTTTTGTCATTGTATTATCTGGCGTTTGTGTTGATGAGAACTTTGTCACCTATAATTTCTTGTCTGAAGGAGCAGCCATTGATCTCTGCTTGGTTCTGGACTTCCTCTGGCCTCCTCCCTGTGGACGGTTGTTTGGATTGTTTCTCCTGTTTGTTATTAACCACAGTTTATTCTCTGCTTGGTTATTGATTACTATCCCACCACCACTGCCAGCGCCCTGGTGCTTTTACAAACTGTACTGTACACAAAGAGAATCAGACCATCAAGTCAAGCCAAGATTCTTTACTGTCATTATGCATAGCACAACGGAATTTCTTTCAGCAGCTCTTGGCTTAAAAGACACATTATTATATAAATATTTATTATATTATATAGTCACATTCTAAAGTGCAGCTCAGTGCAAATCTCAGTCTTTAGGAAGAGGTGTGAGTGTGTGTGTGTGTGTGCGTCTGCAGGAGTCCAGTATTCTGTCTGTAACTGACCATCGCTTGGTTTCACTTCTCTGAAGCCTTCTACACACTAAGGGAAGGAAAGTAAATGTAGAAAGCAGTAGAGCTGGGTCATCAACTCCATCAGCAGTATTGTAAAGGAAGCAGGATTTGTCGGAGAATTAAAACATGCACAATTCCCTGAATGATGAGTGAAGTGTGAAATGCATCATTTAAAGAAAGAGCTCGATTGCAACATAACAGTCCTGCTCCATGAAGGCGATGATGTTCAGTTTGTGTTCAGACTGATTCAGGTGTTGATTCACCTGCGTGGTCACTGTGGAGGCTGGAGTCTGTGCTGCTGTTTCCATCGGTGAGGTCAGGCCAAGTAAGAGAAGCCCCTCTCTGTACAGCTTACAGCTGTTCATGCTCTGCATCACTGACTGACAGACTGGGACTGTGTCAGGCATGATGGGACTAAATGTCTGAATACGGCTCCATGTTAAACCCTACAGTTTGATTAGCCACATGCTCCTGTAGACACTGTAATGTGCTTTAACCATGGCGTCCTTTCAAATGTCAACACCTGGAGGTCACAGTAGTTTGACATCAGGGATGAGGAAATGAGAGGAGGAGGAGGAGGAAATGAACCTGAGGGATGAAGATGAGGATAAAACAGAAGCCAGGAGTGATGAGAGATGGATGAAGACAGAGAGATGAAGTTTATACTGGACCTCATGGTAACGAACATTTCACTCAGTATTCACTTGTTTTCTGCAGTTTGTTTGTGATATAAAACATTGGTGTTAAGTGAAAATGTTAATAAAAAGTTAGTAAAAATGATAAAGGCACAAACCCCAGATACCACCGTTCGTTACCAAAGCCTCGTACTGGCCCGTGATTCTGTCGGTGAAGACAAACCAGCTCTTTACTTCCTGTTCTGCCTTTTGTTCACCACTGTATCAACATACTGACACCTGCTGGACAGGTTGAAAACTGCTGGAGACACATTTGTGATTTTAGACTTTGGGCTCTGTAAATAAAAGTTATTAACAGACATGAGGTCATAGAGTTTATTAAACTACATAAGCTGCAGAAAAAGTTCATCAGTCTCTAATATGAGTAAGACAGATGAGTGGTTTTCCAAACCCAGGTTATGTTCAGTCACATTGTTTTTTTAGGTAAACCAAGATTCATAGATACATTTTAATGACAGGTTGCAACCGCAGACGTTATTATTAACCTTTATTTATTCAGGGTGGGTTTTCTGAGAGGGTTTTCTAACCTTCTGCAGGAACGCCCTGATCGCATTCACACCAGGAAGCAGCCCAGTTCAACCACAGACTGACCTGTGGCCACTGGAGCAGCTGGGGGTTAGGGGCCTTGGTCAGGGACCCCACAGTGGTGTTACTGAGGCCGGGACAGGTGTGGCACCGTCACCTGACCCAGCTGTCTTTAACCCTGCTGGTCCAGGGATTAAACCGGCGACCTTCCAGTCACAGGCTTCTCTGACCTCTAGATGAAACTACCTTCTGGGTTAGAGATCCTGATGGTGGCTCGTCCCCTTGAGCTTCTCGTCTTTGCTGCCAGGCTGAGCCACCGCATCACGTGCTATGTGATGTCATCATCAGTGGTGGCACAGGACACATGTCAAATGCATTTTACTCTGCAGGAAGGATGAGGACCAGACAGAGCCAGACTGGCAGCTGTGAAAGGGCATGTGTCCTCCGAGACCCCGAGGCCCTGTTTGGTTTCTCTGGTGCTCTGAATTAAGAATCATTTAATACTGCACCCAGCTGTAAGGAGAGGACTCAGGGTGGTGGAGTTTAAACAGATAAACACGAAGACAGAGATGTCGGGGTGGGTGGGTGAGTTCTGATGGAAAGACTGAACGAGGCCAAACAGCCACACACGAGAGGCCTATTATTGTTTATTTGATATAAAACTCTGAGCATACATAGATTCCATACAGATTTCCAGGGCAGTGAGAACACATGATCTGTGAGCTCAGTAACCAGAATCACAAACTAATCAATAATCAGTTGATTAACAACTTAGCAGAGCAGTTATTCATCAGAAAGTCGATCCAAATCAGAGCTGAGCAATAATCAATAAGTCATATATGAGCAAGGAGTCATGAAGTGTAGCAATCATTTAGTTAGCTGTCAATAAGCAATTAGTAATAAAAATATCAGTCATGGGCAGACTAAATACATCTGAAGCCAAAGTCAGAGATAAAAGCTGTTTAAAATGTAAAAAAAGAAAAAATCAAAATATCACAAGATTCTTTTCACCTTAGTTTAGAATGAAATGTACTGTAGATGTATTATAGACTCATCATCAAGCAGGAGCGATCAGAAGAAGAGCACACATCAGTCTAAGTGTAATTTTTAGTGCAGTTACAGTTATTATCTTCATTCAGATTTTTGTAAAACTGAGCTACAGTTTCACTGAAAGGACAAATGTTTTGATGAAAAGCCTGAATTTTTACTTCATCTTTGAGTTGCTGTAAAGTCTTTCTCTCCAGATAACCAGGTTGCTTCTTAACATTGTCACCCCAGTGTGCACTCGCGAGCCACTTCTTCTGTTTTTGACTGTAACAGCAGAAAGCAGACCAGAGCTTGGAAGGTATATTAACCCTGTTGTTGAGCTTTTCTGTGCCAGGCACTGCCCCCGTCACCACGTAGCTTTCAGCAGAACAGAACTTTTTCAGGTCACATTTGACACAGTCCTCCATTTTGCTCCAGCTGCCTTGGTTGAATGATGGTACTTGTGGAACGGCGTTTGTCAGGGTGAATGTTGAGGTTTTTTCACTTATGTCAAATGCATGACTAGATGGAAATAAATGGCCACGATCGTAGTTTGTATTCTTATAATCCTGGTCACTGGCCTGGTTCCGGAGTCTCTCAGCCCTCATGTTGCCGTTGTTTTCTTCAAGCTGCAAAGGTTGAAACATTCACTCAGTGCTACTGATAAAGTACCAGAGACTGTTTTGTAGATTTTCTTTCCAAAGTACTGAAGCCAGTTTGATCATTACTTTGTGTTTATGTTGTGTATCATTTAAAACAATGAATCCTGAAATTGTTTTTTGAAACTTTGTAGAAAAATTCAAAACATAAGTGAAAAAACACTGATAGAACTTTTTCATCATCAGTATAATAAAACAAAGGGTCTTACAGGTGGAGAGGACGTTGGATTGTCGGCTGCTGAAACTTCACCTTATTTAAATGACATGGCTATTAGCCTGGTTCTGGTTGTACACACAAACAGGTGAAGCTCTTTAACTTCCTGTGCACTGTAAACATTAGCACAGCGTGGTCCTGACAGCTGGACACAAAGCAACTTTAAAGTTAATTACTTAGTATTTTTATGAGTGAGAGGGTGGGGAATCCTACCTGTGGCTCTATCATCCAACCTACGTCGGGTCTCCTTCCATCATCCCCCCTGTACTTGTAAGCAGAAAACACAGGAATCCTGTTCTTGGTGTCGTAGAGCGTCACAAACCTTTTCTTGTTGTCATATTTCTGGCAGATGACCTTATATCGGTTCTGGTCTTGGATTTCGCCGTTCTCCAGGATCCCAGGGATCTCTGGTGGAGTTTGTCCTAGAAAAAAATGGTCACAGTTTGAAATCGACTGCACCACTTCAGCTCCTGTGGGAGTGATGGACAGGAGGAGGAGGAGGAGGAGGGTGGCGAGGGGCAGGAGACATCTCATCATCAGGGAAGTCGTCATCTCAGTCTGTGTATTTTGGTCACAGGAGAAAACAAAGAGTTTAAAGCACAGTGACTGGCTGCACCTGTGTTGTCAAAGATGTTTTCGTAATTAACTTTTAAGTTGCTTTGTGTCCAGCTGTCAGGACCACGCTGTGCTAATGTTTACAGTGCACAGGAAGTTAAAGAGCTTCACCTGTTTGTGTGTACAACCAGAACCAGGCTGATCTTTAATGCACATTTCAAACATACTCAGATCATTTCTAGGACGTTATAAAGTCAGTGATGACTGACAGTAAATACACTCCAAGTACAAGTGAAATGTGACATTAATGAACAAAAGCAGCATCGATATCACACCAACAAACAAACAAACGTTACAGAGAAGCTCAGTAAAGGTAAAGCACCACGACGTCAGTAAAAACTGCACTCCAGGAGCATTACATAGAGCAAACACCTTAAACTCAGTATAACTGGGCAGCAAAGACAAACTCTGTCTATACTGACTGTGCATCATTATAACAATATGTTAAGAATATTATTGCACATAAATAGGAGGAATACACTGAAAGAATACATGGATATAGTGTGTGAACCCCACAGGAGACATTTAAAAGACGTTATGGGAATGTAGTTAGCCTCCATATAGATCCAAACATGTAGATGACTAAATATTGGTTTAACCGATAGAGATGCACATTAAATATTGTAGTATTAAAATAAACTCTCCCTCCACTCAATAATATGTTTAGCTTTTAACTTATGTCCATGTGTCATCGTCTGGTTCCTGGTCAGAATTCGACTCTACAGAGAAAGTTTCTCTGATCTCAAATTAAAACTATGACACATTCACAAACTCATCCCCAAATTTTAAACCCGGTCTAATAAGCGACTTAAAGGAGTGTAATGTGCAGGACTTTGGCTTCCTGCACAGGTACAGTACAATAAGGACGGTGTCATGACGAAGTAGATGTCTGGTTTGAGCAGCTAAACTCTGAAAATGAACTTTTGTATTTTCAAAATCAGAATCTTTTTTCAGTGAGAAAAAAAAAAGATTTTTAAACAATGAGTTAAATGGACTTTTTGTGGAATTAATTTATTCAAAGTCATTTTACATGTCCTAGTGCAGGACCTTTAATTAGTCAAAACAAACTGTAGGAATAGTCCAGAAATATTATTGCATTAGCAAACGAGAGAAACTGTCAGAAAACATCACCACACCAATAAAAACTCACATTATTAACAATAACAACAATAATAAAACATTATGGAAGTACCACAGAAGACTAATGTCCCCACACAGGACTAATAAAGGAATAGACGTATCCTAAGAGGCTTGTAGTGGCCCGTTGTAGGTTTAATCATTAAAACTGTGGAAAGTTGAATGGAGTCTGGTTTGTGACAAGTGTCACCAGGCAAACAGTTTGTCAGCCAGCGGAGTAAATTCTGTTCAGCATTAAATTAAAATGATGGTCACACTGAACTCAGCAGAGGTTAAAAAACATATATGAACAACCCGTCAGCATACAGCAGTATGTCTGAGGTGCATCGTCTCTTCATCCCTTACCTGGTCCTCTTGTCCTCACCTGTCTGTGTCCTTGTCTCTAAGTGCGTCCTCTACACTCTGTTCCTCTGCTACAGTTTTCTTGTCTTTTATCTGGTCTGACCACTGGTAGGAAGAATGCATTTGCCTATTTTAAGAGTCCAACCACTTCTTCATGTGAACACGTACACCACAAACACTGCATATAAAAAACTCATTTAGTCTGTGGTCACCCTCCTTTAAACAGGAAATTCATTTTGCAGCCACTTCTGTTGAACCAGCAGCAAAGCAGAGGCCGTATTGCTCATAAATGTATACGACTAACTGTCTTCACTGATAATTACACAGTAGAAATAGAAATATACATGTATATGTATTTAACACTGGAGTATCTAAACTTTCAGTGTGTTGGTCCCCACAGAGGCACAACATTGACACACTACACATTCATGTGTCACATTTAAAGTGTTCACCTGTTTTTCTCTAATGCATCTCCACTGTGATCAGTACGTTTGATACTGTAACTGGATCAGTAATGTGGCAGTGAATCGTTTAGAGAACATTTATTGTTGCATATTAACACAATATCATAATGGAGATTCTAAGCATCAAAGTGTCCAGAGGTGTCCAGGTGGTTTACAATAGGTTTTTGCTTCGAGTCACAGCAGCAGAAGTTCAGGGGCCTCTATGAAGTTCACTGTCCCCTTTACCCTATTCTTATGTATTTTATAAATAAGAGGAACACTTAAGACAGATGATTCCCACAGTTTACTGACTGATCTGTGAAAGATGGTTTCACACTAGACCACACATCTGAAACTGGTTTTCACATGTGGGTCTACTTTCCTAGCATTTAGCTGTTTCCACTGCTCTGTTTAAATGGGTGTCATGACAAATGATACCACAAACATGAGCCATACAGTCTCACCCATGGCCTGTAAATACAGCACTGCCTTGGATAGATAGATTTTTACTATGTTGACCATCTTATTTTAGCGTGATAGCATCCCAGCACCTCATCAGTACAGTAACAGAGTTAGTAGTTACTTCTATGTTACAGGTGTCACCATGTCATTAAATTAATGAATAATACAGAGAAATGTTTGTGTATTTCCTTTTGGCAGTGGACATGTTTTTGACCTATGATAGGTTTTTGTTTGATAAACATGGCGACTCCCGATTCTAGGGTTGCCAACCCTCAAGGATTTACCAGGAGACTGATTCAGTCCTGGAAAAATCTAAATTCAATCTGGGAGATTTTTGGTGTTTTTAAAATACAGATTGAACACATGGAAGTAAAGTGCCAGAAAAAAATACAAGTTCCAAAGGAAGACAAGCCCGGGGCACCAACACAGAAACTAAAATTACAGAAATTGAAATTACAGAAGTGTTGATTTGCATAAAGTCTGAAGGCATTACAAAGTCAGTTTCTTAATCTGTAGCTAAAGACAGGCTTTTGTGCAGTTGTGTGCACTATATTGTGTTCAAATGTTCTCAATCTGTCTTCAGTGCCCATCTTGTGTGCAAGCTACAACCTATGAATGTGAGAAATGAAACTGTACAAATCTAATAATCAGACCATAATTCATTTGGTCTGATGGACACATTTGTGATGTAAAGCCATGTAAATAATAATGATCAATAAAAAGCATGATTGATTGTATTACATATAAACTGTAAAAAAACCAAACAACTAAAACATCTACAGCACAGCAGTTCTACAAAACTCAATGCACATTCAGTTTTCAGGAAAAGATTTTAACAAATATTTTCCAATCAATGTTAACATTTTTCAATATAAGATTAAGATACGGTCAAAATTACGAAACTCTCACTAATGACTGTTAGTTTGGATTTTAGTCATTGGAATAAAGGAGTTAATTTACGGTTTTATTTGTCACATGGCTAACGGTGGTTGATGTCCAGTTAACTGTGGTAGTTTGGGTCATGCTTGTTGCTGGTGCTGCGGCAGGATTTTGGAGTACTGTCGTTCTTGGACTGGCTGGGGTTGATATTTGGTTAACTGCAGTAGTTTGGGTCATGCTTGTTGCTGGTGCTGCGGCAGGATTTTGGAGTACTGTCGTTCTTGGACTGGCTGGGGTTGATATTTGGTTAACTGCAGTAGTTTGGGTCATGCTTGTTGCTGGTGCTGCGGCAGGATTTTGGAGTACTGTCGTTCTTGGACTGGCTGGGGTTGATATTTGGTTAACTGCAGTAGTTTGGGTCATGCTTGTTGCTGGTGCTGCGGCAGGATTTTGGAGTACTGTCGTTCTTGGACTGGCTGGGGTTGATATTTGGTTAACTGCAGTAGTTTGGGTCATGCTTGTTGCTGGTGCTGCGGCAGGATTTTGGAGTACTGTCGTTCTTGGACTGGCTGGGGTTGATATTTGGTTAACTGCAGTAGTTTGGGTCATGCTTGTTGCTGGTGCTGCGGCAGGATTTTGGAGTACTGTCGTTCTTGGACTGGCTGGGGTTGATATTTGGTTAACTGCAGTAGTTTGGGTCATGCTTGTTGCTGGTGCTGCGGCAGGATTTTGGAGTACTGTCGTTCTTGGACTGGCTGGGGTTGATATTTGGTTAACTGCAGTAGTTTGGGTCATGCTTGTTGCTGGTGCTGCGGCAGGATTTTGGAGTACTGTCGTTCTTGGACTGGCTGGGGTTGATATTTGGTTAACTGCAGTAGTTTGGGTCATGCTTGTTGCTGGTGCTGCGGCAGGATTTTGGAGTACTGTCGTTCTTGGACTGGCTGGGGTTGATATTTGGTTAACTGCAGTAGTTTGGGTCATGCTTGTTGCTGGTGCTGCGGCAGGATTTTGGAGTACTGTCGTTCTTGGACTGGCTGGGGTTGATATTTGGTTAACTGCAGTAGTTTGGGTCATGCTTGTTGCTGGTGCTGCGGCAGGATTTTGGAGTACTGTCGTTCTTGGACTGGCTGGGGTTGATATTTGGTTAACTGCAGTAGTTTGGGTCATGCTTGTTGCTGGTGCTGCGGCAGGATTTTGGAGTACTGTCGTTCTTGGACTGGCTGGGGTTGATATTTGGTTAACTGCAGTAGTTTGGGTCATGCTTGTTGCTGGTGCTGCGGCAGGATTTTGGAGTACTGTCGTTCTTGGACTGGCTGGGGTTGATATTTGGTTAACTGCAGTAGTTTGGGTCATGCTTGTTGCTGGTGCTGCGGCAGGATTTTGGAGTACTGTCGTTCTTGGACTGGCTGGGGTTGATATTTGGTTAACTGCAGTAGTTTGGGTCATGCTTGTTGCTGGTGCTGCGGCAGGATTTTGGAGTACTGTCGTTCTTGGACTGGCTGGGGTTGATATTTGGTTAACTGCAGTAGTTTGGGTCATGCTTGTTGCTGGTGCTGCGGCAGGATTTTGGAGTACTGTCGTTCTTGGACTGGCTGGGGTTGATATTTGGTTAACTGCAGTAGTTTGGGTCATGCTTGTTGCTGGTGCTGCGGCAGGATTTTGGAGTACTGTCGTTCTTGGACTGGCTGGGGTTGATATTTGGTTAACTGCAGTAGTTTGGGTCATGCTTGTTGCTGGTGCTGCGGCAGGATTTTGGAGTACTGTCGTTCTTGGACTGGCTGGGGTTGATATTTGGTTAACTGCAGTAGTTTGGGTCATGCTTGTTGCTGGTGCTGCGGCAGGATTTTGGAGTACTGTCGTTCTTGGACTGGCTGGGGTTGATATTTGGTTAACTGCAGTAGTTTGGGTCATGCTTGTTGCTGGTGCTGCGGCAGGATTTTGGAGTACTGTCGTTCTTGGACTGGCTGGGGTTGATATTTGGTTAACTGCAGTAGTTTGGGTCATGCTTGTTGCTGGTGCTGCGGCAGGATTTTGGAGTACTGTCGTTCTTGGACTGGCTGGGGTTGATATTTGGTTAACTGCAGTAGTTTGGGTCATGCTTGTTGCTGGTGCTGCGGCAGGATTTTGGAGTACTGTCGTTCTTGGACTGGCTGGGGTTGATATTTGGTTAACTGCAGTAGTTTGGGTCATGCTTGTTGCTGGTGCTGCGGCAGGATTTTGGAGTACTGTCGTTCTTGGACTGGCTGGGGTTGATATTTGGTTAACTGCAGTAGTTTGGGTCATGCTTGTTGCTGGTGCTGCGGCAGGATTTTGGAGTACTGTCGTTCTTGGACTGGCTGGGGTTGATATTTGGTTAACTGCAGTAGTTTGGGTCATGCTTGTTGCTGGTGCTGCGGCAGGATTTTGGAGTACTGTCGTTCTTGGACTGGCTGGGGTTGATATTTGGTTAACTGCAGTAGTTTGGGTCATGCTTGTTGCTGGTGCTGCGGCAGGATTTTGGAGTACTGTCGTTCTTGGACTGGCTGGGGTTGATATTTGGTTAACTGCAGTAGTTTGGGTCATGCTTGTTGCTGGTGCTGCGGCAGGATTTTGGAGTACTGTCGTTCTTGGACTGGCTGGGGTTGATATTTGGTTAACTGCAGTAGTTTGGGTCATGCTTGTTGCTGGTGCTGCGGCAGGATTTTGGAGTACTGTCGTTCTTGGACTGGCTGGGGTTGATATTTGGTTAACTGCAGTAGTTTGGGTCATGCTTGTTGCTGGTGCTGCGGCAGGATTTTGGAGTACTGTCGTTCTTGGACTGGCTGGGGTTGATATTTGGTTAACTGCAGTAGTTTGGGTCATGCTTGTTGCTGGTGCTGCGGCAGGATTTTGGAGTACTGTCGTTCTTGGACTGGCTGGGGTTGATATTTGGTTAACTGCAGTAGTTTGGGTCATGCTTGTTGCTGGTGCTGCGGCAGGATTTTGGAGTACTGTCGTTCTTGGACTGGCTGGGGTTGATATTTGGTTAACTGCAGTAGTTTGGGTCATGCTTGTTGCTGGTGCTGCGGCAGGATTTTGGAGTACTGTCGTTCTTGGACTGGCTGGGGTTGATATTTGGTTAACTGCAGTAGTTTGGGTCATGCTTGTTGCTGGTGCTGCGGCAGGATTTTGGAGTACTGTCGTTCTTGGACTGGCTGGGGTTGATATTTGGTTAACTGCAGTAGTTTGGGTCATGCTTGTTGCTGGTGCTGCGGCAGGATTTTGGAGTACTGTCGTTCTTGGACTGGCTGGGGTTGATATTTGGTTAACTGCAGTAGTTTGGGTCATGCTTGTTGCTGGTGCTGCGGCAGGATTTTGGAGTACTGTCGTTCTTGGACTGGCTGGGGTTGATATTTGGTTAACTGCAGTAGTTTGGGTCATGCTTGTTGCTGGTGCTGCGGCAGGATTTTGGAGTACTGTCGTTCTTGGACTGGCTGGGGTTGATATTTGGTTAACTGCAGTAGTTTGGGTCATGCTTGTTGCTGGTGCTGCGGCAGGATTTTGGAGTACTGTCGTTCTTGGACTGGCTGGGGTTGATATTTGGTTAACTGCAGTAGTTTGGGTCATGCTTGTTGCTGGTGCTGCGGCAGGATTTTGGAGTACTGTCGTTCTTGGACTGGCTGGGGTTGATATTTGGTTAACTGCAGTAGTTTGGGTCATGCTTGTTGCTGGTGCTGCGGCAGGATTTTGGAGTACTGTCGTTCTTGGACTGGCTGGGGTTGATATTTGGTTAACTGCAGTAGTTTGGGTCATGCTTGTTGCTGGTGCTGCGGCAGGATTTTGGAGTACTGTCGTTCTTGGACTGGCTGGGGTTGATATTTGGTTAACTGCAGTAGTTTGGGTCATGCTTGTTGCTGGTGCTGCGGCAGGATTTTGGAGTACTGTCGTTCTTGGACTGGCTGGGGTTGATATTTGGTTAACTGCAGTAGTTTGGGTCATGCTTGTTGCTGGTGCTGCGGCAGGATTTTGGAGTACTGTCGTTCTTGGACTGGCTGGGGTTGATATTTGGTTAACTGCAGTAGTTTGGGTCATGCTTGTTGCTGGTGCTGCGGCAGGATTTTGGAGTACTGTCGTTCTTGGACTGGCTGGGGTTGATATTTGGTTAACTGCAGTAGTTTGGGTCATGCTTGTTGCTGGTGCTGCGGCAGGATTTTGGAGTACTGTCGTTCTTGGACTGGCTGGGGTTGATATTTGGTTAACTGCAGTAGTTTGGGTCATGTTTGTTGCTGGTGGAGTGGGAATGATAATCGTGGTTGTGGGTCCAGCCTGCAGGCTTCGACCATGACGTCTGGACCCACGTGGGCACTGGCAGGTTTTATCTTCATTAATTTGTGGGTATAATCCATCCACAGTTTCTTGGCGAGGACATTGTGTTCTATGAAACACCTCAAACCCTGAGCCCACACTGCTCAGTTTAGTGTTGAGTTCTGCCAAAGTTTTTGTTTGTAGGTTTTCAGATTGAGATTGATCTGCGACATTGTCGCCCCAGTACGCACTTGCTAGCCACTTGCTCACGTTTTGACTGTAACAGCAGAAGGCTGACCATAGCATGGAAGGTATGTTAACCCTGTTGCTGAGAGTGTCTCTGATGCTGGGCTGTGCCCCTGTCACCACAAAGCCTTCAGTAACACCACTGTTGTTGAAACAGTATTTGTCCATAACACATTTGATGCAGTTCTCCATTCTCCTCCAGCTTCCTTGGTTGAAAGTCGCCGCCTGTGGAACAGCGTTGGTCAGGGTGAAGGTCGAGTCTTTGTCATTTTCACTGAATGCATAAGAGCTTGGGAACAAATGGCCCCGGTCAAATGTTTGATTGTCTTTGTAATCATAGTCCCCAGCCTGGTAGATGTAGGTCATGTTTGTGTCATCCCTCATGTTTTTGTCATCATTTCCATTCTCAAGCTGTAAGAATTGAAAGGTTGGTTAGTGATGCAGGCTGTCCAGCAGTAAATTATATAAAAATAACAGTGGAATTGGCCTTTAACTGACTGGCAGGGTGCAAAACGCTGCACAGAAACGTTCCTTCATTAGTTCGCTGTGGTCATAGTCTCATGAATGATCACTATACACATACATACAGTGCCACTAGTATCTGTGAACGTGCAACATGATGATTATTATTTGTATAAAAGGTAGTGGTAGTTGTAGTATTAACATTAGTAGTAGCTAGTACGTAGGACTCTAAATACTTTGTCATGTTTCTGATTATGAGGAAAAACACCTGTGGTTCGGTTTTCCATGGGGTGTCAGGTCTGTTTCCATTTCCCCCCCTGTACTTGTTCGCAGAAAACACAGGAATCTTGCTGGCAGTGTCGTAGAGCGTCACAAACCTCCTCTCATTCATAAAAGTCTGGCAGATGAGTTTGTATTGGGTCTGGTTCAGGATGATGCCGTCCACTAAGATCCCTGGGACTTGTGGTGGAGTTGCCTGTAGAAAAAACTGGTCACAGTCTGATATCGACTTCACCACTTCAGCTCCTATGGGAACGACGGACATGAGGAGGAGGAGGGCAGCGAGGGGCAGGACACACCTTGTCTTCAGTACCGTCATCTTCTTATGATTGTGCTTATGTGAAAACAAAACAAAACAAACCACAACATTACAGTCATACAATCTGTAGTGTTTAAGGCCCTTTTCTTGTTTTCTGAAACCAGCATGTTTAATGTGCAAACATGAAACCTATTTTGTCCACTACACTTGTCTTGTTGTTCAGCCTGAAATGAACTCTGTCCTGCTAACAGACAGCTGTTCTGATGACTGTAAACACTCAGAGTGCTCCGCTCATGCCTCATGACACAAAGCATGTCAACATTCTGATGACGCTGGTATGGGGCCTGTGTTTTTGGGATGTCGGGTGTGTTATTGTTTGAGTACTAACTGTCTGTGCTGTGCATGTCGGCTAGATTCCAGGAGAACAGAGTAAAATATGGAAGGAAGACACTTCAACAATCTCTAATTTCTCCGATTCTGGAGCGCATTGCTGCTAGACATTTCACCATCTCAGCACAGTCGTGGTGGTTTTGTTATTTAGGGTTTAGCTGGGTTTTCCCATAATGTATTTGTCACTCAGTGGAAAAACTGCAGCAGGAGGGTGATTCCTACAGTTATGAGACAAGGCTGGATCACCAACTGGGCGACTTCCCAGGGGCCCGAAACCCTCACTGGTTTATCCATCCCCGCTGGTTTGGGGAATTACATTAGTTATATACTTATTAAGTTATTCATAGCCAGTCACTGAGAAATTCTGATCTCACACAGAATCCGTGCACAATAATTATGTTTACACATAGTAAACAACACATGAAAACAGCCATAAATCCAAAACACCCTGCACATGTTCTGATCCATCATGTTACAGGCCTCCTACTGACGGTAAAGCAGAGCTGCACAGCTTTTAATATCTGATGCCTTTTGGCCAATTAGTTTTATATTTGGGTATTTAATTACATCAGTAGAAGGGAAGAGCATTTGTAAATTAAACAGTACTTGTGCTTAAGTACATATTTTAAGGAATAGACTTGGTTAAGAAGTTACTGTTTACTGGTCAATAGATGATTTTCTTGTTTGCATGCATGTATTCTTAGATTTTATTAACAGTCTTCATGGGCCCAGGGGTCATGAAACTAATTTAATAAATCTAATTTAACTAACTTTCAGTCTTCTATTACAAAAATACTTTGAGAAGAATTCAAGGAAAATATTGAAGATAAAACAATTAGCCCACATACCAGTTGTAAAACTACAGGTGAAAAAACTATGTAAGATTATTTATATAATCAATCATTTTTATAATCAATCATTTGAGTAATTTTTCAAGCAAAAAACATTTTGACTATTGTAGCATTTTATGATATAATTACAAAGATTTCTCTGAGAAAATGATCCACAGATGAATCAGTAAGGAAAATTCTTAATAAACGAAGGAAAACTCACCGTCTTAGATCAGAGCCTGGTGAAATCTGACAAACACACCGACAGGCATGAAGCTGTACTACGTATATCAGCTGAACCTGTGGATGAAGTTTGATTTTTATGGTCACTGGGGGTGTGGCAGGTTGTTTACCTTCACATCAGGAGATAGCTAACACCGATCATCCCCAGTGTGACTGCAGCCTTGGTCTGGGGACTTTTCCTTCTCTGACTGGTCTAAGCCTGTTTTTACTCAGGTGTTCTTCACGGTCACAGGAAGGTTTCCTCTGAAGGCACATTTGAATAGGTTTTAAAAGCACCGAGGGCGAATGTCCTGGCAGAAGTTCAAAATCAAATTTATTTAAAGTGTGGCACAGCCATGGAAATAAAATCCAAAAATACTGACAGAACTAAAATACAAAGTTAAAATGAAATAAAAGATGATTATTATCATCAAATAAAATGTATTCAATTGAAAACAGAAAATATATGAAAACAAATACACATCTAATGTGGAAATGTACAAATTTAGGATAAATACTTTAAAGATCACAACCTTCAAAAGAGCCTTGAACTCTCTTTAAATGAAGATGTAATTTAAAGATGTTTTGTATTTTAGAATCCGTTATCTGTCTTTCTAAGACCTGAACGGATAAGATAGAGACTTTCATGTGAAATGTGAATGAAAACGCCGTAGAGAAGTTGTTTCAGTTAATTTGGTTGTGTTTCTTTAAAGAAAAACCTGCTGCAGCCTGATGCAAATTCAAAGGGAGTGTTCGGAGCAGCTGGTACAGACCGGGTCTGTGTGACGAGGCTGTTGCGTGCTCTCTCTTCTATCACCTTCAGTAAGATGAAACATGGAGATCTGCTGTGACTGCAGCTATCTGGTGTCACTGAACCCTCAGGCAATGGATGTAGGTGCGGTTCACAGGAGGGGGAGTTACAGTGCATGTTTGTTTCTCTGTGATCTCATCGGCCTCTGTTCACTTCATCTCGCCAAACCTCAGATGGAAACTGAATCCACTGGGTTTGTTTCATCCTCCTGTGTTCTAGCCACACTGTGTTTTCAAGGTTTCTTTCTACAGCTATAATGGGATTTTTCTGTGGCCCTTTGTCATCCCAGTAAGAGGCTCAGGTCTAGGGTCCCCCCGGCTGTTTGGGTCCCGGAGCCTGCGCCCAGTGATCCTTCCATGTACTGTTGTCCTATTGATGCATTAAGCACCACATGAATCACCCTAAAGCATCATTTATCATGACAACACAGAGTTGTATGACACCCAAATTGTTTACTTCCACTCTCCTGTACTTTAATGTTAATGTGCAGGATGTGATACAAAGTACATGAACACAGATTTTTGCTAACAATAACTTTGTCAGACAAACAACAACCAGATGTAATGGCCTGGTGAGACACGAGCAGTTCACACTGTCCTTACTGGAAGGAACGAAAATTACCCCGAGGCTGTGAGGAAGAGAAGAAAAGCGTTGATGCCACTGTTAAGAGAGGCTAAGGACAGAGGAGAAATCGCGTTTCTGCGATACAATAAACTGGTGACCCGACCACGGAACCAGGATTTTGGACCCAAGACCAGCACGCCGAGACAAGGAGAGCACGAGGGGGCCGCTGGACCCTCTCATGTCTGAAGAAACTTGCAGCAATACTGATATCTGCAACGGCAGATGAGCGTTGGAGCTAACAACAACCAGCATGACCAATGGAGGCAAGTGATTTGCTACAGAACTTAATAAATTTTGAGGGACGGGATCTTGAACTGAACACAATTGGAGACACTGACATTCACCATCATGAAACGGATGATGGCTTTGACCCTGAAAAAAACTTTTTCAAGAACTTTGAAAATAACTGCAAGTATTACACGGATGAGCAGTTTAACAGCAATGTCAAGACTGAAAACAAATTATCATTAATTCACTTTAATAGCAGAAGTCTATACGCTAACTTTCAGAATATAAAGCATTATCTTTGTAGTCTTAAACATTCTTTTAATATAATTGCCATTTCGGAAACCTGGATTAATAATGTAAGGGGAGTGGATTTTGACCTTGATGG